TCATTTTAGTACTGAGAAGTAAAAATCTAGTACAACACAAGGCGAAGTTATGTACCTTTATTGATCATCATCAGCCAAATTGTAAATATCTTACCGGCTTTCATCATCTCAACTGTCTTGTTGTCTGCTCTAGACGGATGAGAAGGAAAGTTTTTTGAAAGAGAAGGAATTCACAAGGGACTCTCAAGGATACGTCTGCAGTGGAAGAGCTCCCCTCCACAGTAGAATTTTGGTATATTAGTCCTCGAGAAACGTTTAAAGTGAAGCATATAAAAAAAATATAAAGTACCTGTCGCTTGGATTGCCGTGCTGGAGAGATTCATGTCAGACACGTCAACCTTCTCTTCTTCTCTCTTCTCTCGAGAGTTTGTTAAAAGGTTATCTTGTTATTTAGCCACCGAAAGCCCAGCCGACTTCTTAGAAGACGAGCAGGCTAATCGCAGCAGTTACCAAAGAAGTAAGCAACGCGGAGGCGAAATTCACACCGTTATTGCTCAGAAAATCCTCTCCAGTAATTCGTTTTACAGTCGGCCCTGGTTTTCCCACAACCTGTTCCACGGCAGAGATTGTAAACAAGAGAACTAGCAAAAGCTTTCAAGAAACTTGCCTTCTTTCTCACTTTGCACATTCCAGAGAACTGGACGGTTGCTCCAAGCAGCGAATCCATTAAGCTACCAATGAATCCTGCGAGGCATCCAAGCGGCAAAGCCTCCCACTGGCGAAGCATCGTGCTTCCTCGACATGGAGTCGTGAGCATCCCTGTTAGAACGTAAACCAGACCGATGAAAGCTCCTCCAACAGCAGCAGCAGCAGTTCCCAGCAGTGTAACTCCACCGTTGGTACCTCGAGGCACCACCTGAAAGACAAAGATAAAGTTTCAAGGAATTCACTCTCGAAGTTTTTCCTTTGCTTGCCTGCATTGTCGTGATCAAGCGTGGTTGGCTTTTGCTAAGGACTCCAACCTCGGACGACCAAGTATCTCCCGCGCAGCAAGCATAGTAGCCGAGAATTCCTCCGAGAAGGCCAGTGACAAGAGCATCCCCCTTGGAATCCATACACTTGTCTTCCCAGCCAGTATAATATACCACAGCGAGCGATAGCAAAGTTCCACCCGCACTGTTGGCAAGAACCTGGAGCCTACGAAAAGAATTTATTCAACACTCTCTACAAGAACAAACTCACAAAGTAGGAAAACCTTGGGCAAAATCTACAAACTTACCAGTCTCGTTGGCCACCCTCCTTGAAATCGTCGTCCACGCCTCGTTTTTCATCGGACTTATACTTCGTGAGGAACGAGGAACTCAAGTAAAACGCCAGGACGAGAGCTCCAAACCTTGAAAAGCAAAAAAAGAATTTCAACACACAACAGTCCAAGAACAAAGAAGCACAGAAAAGAATTCCCACACAACCAGGACAAGATTTCTACCGGATTCCCGAGGCCATGGACAGCGATAGCACCACGAAACCCGCCACAGCTCCCGATGGCGAGAGGGATTTCTTCACAAGTCCCCGCGCGGCGACGAGAGCCGCCACAAGCATCGCCAGGACGATTTTCAGCATCGCCTCCATCTGCAGCAGAGTTAGAAGAGGAGAGATTTCGCTCGCGATCGATCGGAAACAGTGATAGGCGCTTACATTTCCTGCGATGGCTTGCTCCTCGCAAGCCCTAAATCTTAACCATCGTTAACAAATTCTAATTATTAAGAATAGTCAAATATTCCTTATTCCTCATCTTTGATTTTCTCGAATGAATGGTAGGACCATCGTACTGCAAGAAACATGATCCTCGATTCTAACATTATGAACTGGATGAGAGCTGGGATTTGATTAAAATCCAAAAGTAGCTTGCAGATCTTTGTGGGAGATCTTCGTGGTCGATGCCATTGAACAAATTCGTTGGACCTTAAAAGAGTGGACTCAAATTTCTTGTAATTTTGAGCTCAGATGGTAGAGCGATCGCTTTGCATGCGATAGGTAAGGGGATCGATGCCCCTCTCCTCCACTTCCAAATTTAAGTGAAGATAATAGAGAGGAGAAATGCTTTTGATCCGGCATTTTCCGATTTTACCTTTTCAACCATGACCAAAAAAATGGAGGTGAGGGGCATCAATCCCCTTACCTATCGCATGCGAAGCAATCGCTCTACCATCTGAGCTACACCCCCTCAGCAAAAGTAATCAGCATGTATGTGAAAGCACGTCCACCACATATCAATCCATTTATTCCAGCAAAATATGGTTTTCTATCTAGTGTAGACTAGCACTTCGCATCTTTCTTCATTACTACTATGAAATTTAGTTTAGATATGATGTTGCTTTTCAACGGCTATGGATGCAGCTGTGCGCACAAAGGCTAGAGTCTTCTCCCACGACCGTTGCAATCGTGCTCATACACCACGCATTTTATTCCGTCGTCGACATTCACGAACATCGGAAAGGTATTTACCTTTCTTTTTTCTTTCGGCCTTTGAAAGATTCAGGGAGGTTAACTAAAATGCCTGGCTAGAGGGAAGGCATTAACACAAAGTTTGGAAACGTTCCGACGGGAAAAGGCACAGTATGACTGACTGTGAATTATAGAAATGACTGTGAATTCCCTAGAGCACTTGGAATGGTCGATATTTACTATCAGACGCTCTAGTTACGATGGTGATTCAGAAGTTTGCTGAACCAAAGTTTCATGTTCTGATCGTGGAAGTTTGGCTTTTTTTAGATGGGTGAGCTCAAGAAGCTCGACTCTCAAAAGCGAGTGCCAGCACCATATGGGGAGCTCATGCCATGCATTACCCCCAATCTGGAGGCAGAGATGGAGACGCCACCTCGAAATGCGAGAGACAAAAGTTCTGGGATCAAAGTTTTGGTATAGAAAAAGTACTCGATGGATCACAGAACTTACTGAACGTGGTAACACAAAACAATGGAGGTGAGGGGCATCGATCCCCTTACCTATCGCATGCGAAGCGATCGCTCTACCATCTGAGCTACACCCCCTGAGCAAAACTTATCTGCATTATCAACGACTGGGCCACCACGGTATAAGAAAGGCCGCGACATCTAACAAGACAATCCATTTATTCCAGCAAGAGAAAGAGATTAGCTCTGGTTTTCAATCTAGTTGCATCTTTCTTGTCATGACGGGTAAGTCCTTGCTGGTTTTCACAGTGATCGAGATATGAGATCTACGCTTGCGAGCTGACAAGTTCTTCAAGCTTGTTGCTGCTGAGAATTGGTCCCACCACTGTGCCCAATATGGGAAAGAGACAGCTCCTCAACACCTTGCTACTGGAAACACTCTTCAATCACATGTGAACTTTCGATTTGCTGGTTTGATTTACAATCTGATACTATAGCTGTACTTATGAAACAAGTTTTAGAACAAGAAAATTTACTTCAGTACGAATCTAATAATGGCTATAGCATCAGATGAATCATTCAACAAGGTGAATTCAATCATTCATTCATATAATTGTTGCATTTCTGGTTTCTTTAAGTATTCAGAAATGTAAACTCGATTTTCTCGCCTTGACGAGTTCAATAGAGTGTCAAGAGGATGGAAGAAACGATCATGCACTTGAGATTGGACCGGACGACGCAGCACTCGTGAGCTGTATCCAAGATGCCTTTGCTGAAAGCAAAAGAGGAGAGAGCAAAAAGGACGTTGCGGCAGCAGCCAAGGAAAGCGACTGGAGTTGCAACACGAACCTTGTCTTGGAGCCTGTCTCTATGCGCTTAACTCCTAATCATCTCGTCGAGCCTGGATTGGCATACCTTGCGGTCCTCGGTGTCGATTCCACCTCATGCTTGACATATCCGTTGCTTTTGGAGTGACAATTTTGCATTTGTTTCTTGTCCTTGGATTGAGATTTATCTCCATAATACTGTTCTGGAAGCAACGGTTTTGTTTGTGATAAAAGCAGCTGAAAATACTTTAGTCGCGGAATTAGAATTGGATGCTAGAATAACAATGTTGCTTTGTACTGAAAGAGAGTGACGATCAAGTAGGTGTCTGTCTGGTGCACTGATGGAGGTAAGTGACCCTTTTTTTCTCCAGTGCTTCAGAGGTTCCAGCCAGTGATATGTTTTTCTTTTTTAATATTTTTTTTTTACTTTTCTCTGGTTTTGGAAAAAAAAATAAAAATGGATACAGGCCTAAAGCTGTGTATTAGTTGCCGACAACTTTTCGCAAAAGCATGTTCGGTTCTGGAAGACTTGATTGCAGCAGAGTGTTTGGGATGGCAAGTAGTAAGCGCTTAAGTAGGTTCTAATCCCGAGTTGATTGATCTTGCCGTGAGTGGACCAACCTGTGTTAGCATGGTATGGTTTGGACGCTGTTCTTTCACGTGCGTTTGACGTTGATTTCAACAGAATATTAAAAAAAACAAAAAACAAAACAGCCACATATAACTAAAATAAAAATAGAAAATCCAAAATGTTTCACTCCCTGCTGTTTAATTGAATGCAGGTATTGACCCCCTGTTCTTGCCTGAGAAATTTCCTGCGTACGTTACACAGAAGCTGAGCTTCGCGAAGCAAAAGCAAAATTTTCCATTTTTTTTTCTTACAATTTTTACTGTTGTTACCCACCCCATGAGATCAGATTGTTACCAAAAACAATGGTACCACTAGAGCTAGAGTCAGAACATTATTAGGACAATGGCCCTCCCCCGAAAAACTAGAGCTCTAAAATTTCGCTAGAATTCCCCCCGAAGAAGAGAATGGTCAAGGACGATTCCTCGCAAGCGCGTCCAGATGGGCGATCCGATGTAGATCTATCCCCCCACCGGATTACCATGATCAGTGATCGCCATCGCAATCACACGCATTCTTGCGACGCTTGGCAGATCTGGCCAGCAAGACGATGAGGAACGCGGCGATGAGCACCAGCGCCGCGATGCCACACGCGATCCCCACAATTCTCCACACATTGTCGACGTAGTAGTGGTGGTGATGGATGTCGTGGTACTCTAGATCGGCAATGTTGGAGCCGGAGCCGCCAGCGTAGAAGTACTGCGGAGGCGGAGGAGCGTAGCGGTTAGCCCCGGAGGATCCCCACGACGTCGGCGGCGGGTAATTGGCGGAGGAGGAGGGGGGCACCGGCGGCGCTTGTGCTTGCGGCGGAGGATTGGGCGGAGATGGGCTCTTGGGGCACTGGCTCAGGCAATTCCCGGCGCCACAGTATCCATCCCCGGTCCCGCAGTAGCCATTCACTCCACAGCAGCAGTTCTGGGGGCACTGGACGGTGGGGCTGCAAGGAATCGTGGCCCAGCACGGACGCGCTCCTCCCCCGAGGAGAAGCGCGACGATGGAGATGGAGATTGGAGCTAGTAGCGGGCGGGGGAGGAAGAACAGGGGAGACCTGGCGAGGACTAGCGTGGGCGACATCAGCATGACTAAAAGATTGGTGACACTAGCGGCGCCTCCTCCCTACCAGCGGCGCCCGCGGCAATGGATGCGCGAGGAGAGAAGAAAATTAAAGAGGAGAGAAGAAAGGGAAAGAGTGTGGATGGATGGACACGGGGAAGAAGGAGAAGTTAGAAGAGACTTACCATCGCTCTCCGACGTGGTGATATGGCAATGGCGCAACGATGAGAGAGAGAGAGAGAGAGAGGAGAGAGAGCCCCAAAAGAGGAGAAGGAAAATGAGAATAAAGTTTTGTTGTTGTTGTTGTTGTTGTGGCAGAGCGCAACGATTAAAAAGTAACAACGCTTTCGAGAGGCAAAATCCCTCTCGGTGTGAGGACAACGTGGATATATCTTGTCCCCACTTGCCTGGACGGGGCATATTCCTCTGCGTTTAGGGTTCTTGAGGATCTCACATTGTTTACCTTTAAGATATGGAGTAAGAATGCTTTTAGGGTTTTTGAGAACCTCTCCCATTGTTTACCTTTAAGATCCAAGTGGAGCTCTGGATATGAAAGATCGAGTTTTGCTGCTATGCTACTACACGATCAATCAATCTCTCCAAAGCCCAGAGACGAAGAATCAAGAGACCGATCGATCGACCGATCACAGGCTCACAACCGCGCAGCCCAACACCGTCCCGGAGCACCAAGTCATGCTCGTCGTCCCCTTCTTCTCGAATTCGCCACCCTCCACGCTCCAGATATCCACCTCCTTCAATACGTGAATCCTCATGCTCTCCTGCTGCGGCCCCAAGATCCCCCCAACCACGTACAAGTCGTTTCCAATCCCCGCCACCCCAAACCCTATCCTGTGGAAGTACTCGGCCCAGTGCCGCCATAGCTGCGGCTCGTTCAAGCCCCGGATCAAGTAGGAGCTCGCCACCCCGCAAACCTCATCGCCCACCACCGCCAATCTCCCCGGGAACTCCCGCCACTGCGACCCATGCAGCGTCCACGAATCCAGCGCCGGATCGTAGAGCTGGACGAGCGAGTGGCCCTTGTACAGCAGCGCCATGGCGCCGCCAAGAACAAGCCCCGAGCACGCCGCGTTGTGGACCTCGCCCACGTCCGCGATGGCGTCCCAGCGGTCGGCCTCCGGATCGTAGATCTCCGCCGAGGCGAGCGGGCGGCGCGAGCAGCCGAATCCCCCCGCCACGATGATCTTGCCCGCCACCGCCGCGCAGGCGAACTGGGACCTGGGCGTGAGCATGGGCGATCGCGCCTCCCATCGCCCCTGGAGCGCGTCGAAGCACCACACGGCGGCGCTGGCGAAGGGGCGGTCGCGCTCGCCGGTGGCGTGATCCACCTCGTCGCTGCCGCCGCCGACGACGAAGAGCTGGCGGTGGAGCGCGGCGGTGCCGAAGTTGGAGAGGCGCGCAATGGAGGAGGGGAAGAGTGGCAGCGTGTGCCAGTGGCCGCCGGATGGATCGTAGGCCTCCCACACGCGGTCGGGCTCGAAGGATGTGACGAAGAGCCACTCCTCGCGCAGCCCCGCCGCGGACCTTACCCGGAAGAGCTCGGCGCCACCACTGCCGCCGCCGCCGTTGCGCAGCGCCGCGCGCCACGACCGGCACACCGCCCGCATTGCCCTGTGCATCCCTAGCGGCGCCCGCGCCAGGCACTGCATTGCAATCGCATCCGGGAGCCCCTCGATCAAGCTCGCCATTCGCTGGGATCACTACCAATGCCGCGCCGCACCGCCGCCGCCTCCGGACCATCTAAGAATGGGAAAATCCAGCTCTCGCTAGCTCTCTCCCTCGCTCGCGCGCCTCGCGCTCAAGAACCCTAACGAATATCCTGATAAATGTGCTTTTGCTGTACGTAGCACTTGTGCTAGGATATTCGATGGGGTTAATTTCCCGCCATTTTTTTGTGTTTCGGCTATGGCGTTTAGGAGCATTGGGGCCGGTGGTAGGGCAGAGGATGGAGGCGAGGATAGCCGTGGTGGAGGCGCCGGCGCTGGCAAGCTCAGCTTCTACGAGGCGGCGCCCGATGAGGAGATCTCGCTGGAAGATTTTGAGGAGTACGCGCTGGATCGGCTGCGAGGTTTGTTGTTTTGATCAAATTTCATGAAAATCTCGGCTGCTGGAACGTTTCGTTGCCGGCTCAGTGCTGAAAGAAATCGAGGAAGCGCGGTCGAGGGGGAAGAAGATGGAGGAGATGGATCCGCTGGTGCGTGTCTGTGAGATGTGAGAATGGGGCCGTTGTAATGCGTTCCAAATTTTGATTTTGCCAGGTGAGCGATCTCTGGAGGAAACATATGGGGAGCGATTCCAGCAAGAAGGACGTGATTTCGCATTTCATCTTGCGCCTAGCTTATTGTCGCACGTATGGCATTTTTTTCGTTTTTCTTTGTTTTGGATATCCAGATTGTTTAACTCTCGTGTCTTCAGCGAGGATCTGCGCCGGTGGTTCCTTGGAATCGAGTCTGTTTTGTTTCGTCATCGTTTCCGATGTGAAATGCCGGCTGCACAGGTCTGGAAGTTTCATTTCCTTCTCTTTTTGTTTTCAAGTTCTCGTGTTCGTTTGCAGCAAAAACTTATGGACGATTGCAATCTGCCTTACAAAGCAATGACCAGTGCTGAAATTGAGGTATTCATTTCAAGGGCGCCCCAAGTAACTCCCTTGGTCTTGCAGGCGGTGAAGGAAAATTTAGAGAGTGTGGCGCGTTCGACAAATCAGGTTTCGAACTGTAAGCCTTCGATTGTATATGCGGTCACTTTCTAATCTTTTATACTGTACATTTACGTGCAGCTAAAATGTACTACAAAGTTCCGTTTGAAGACGTGCCAGAGCTTGTAAGCGGCCGTAAGGTTTATCTTCGACGTGGTGAAGCTTTTGTTCCCAGAGAGCAAGTAAGATTCCTGACAAAAGGCATTTAATTACTTTTATTTGTTGCAGCTAAGCTTTTTGGTTGTTGGCCAATTTCGGTCTCGCTTGTCCAAAGCTCTCGTTCTAACTAACCGGTAAGCATCGATATCTACAACACACTACTGATTTAATCTGCCTGAACGCAGAAAGTGGATTTCTTTCATTGCTGGAGAAGAGAAAGATCGACTGGCACCGGTAAAGTTCAGAGTGTTTTTTATGGTTGACTTCACGCAACATGGCATTTTTTAGATGGTTGAGGCTTTGAGTACACGATATCTAGGACCTGACTATACTCAGGTATTGATGTTTGTAAAGGCAGCTCAATTTACGTTCGTTCGCAGCCAAAATCATCGAATGAGATCGCTTTGCAAGATCTTGATCAACTGGCAAAGGCTTCATTTCCACTGTGCATGCGAAGTTTATTCTTTCAGGTTTGGCCTATCTAGCAATCAGTTAACGGCTTTATCTTCGTTGTTTCAGCTGCGTGATGACCATCATTTGAGGCACGGCGGCCGGCAGCAACTTGGACTCTTCTTAAAGGTGAGATGCTTGTCTTTCGTTTGCTTCTTTATACTAAAGTTTCTACGGTGCAGGGGATCGGTCTAAAGCTGGAAGATGCCTTGGCATTCTGGAGAGCCGAGTTTTCTCGAAAGGTGCGCAAAAACTTGAAAAGTTTCGAGTATCTAACGGGAGTAATTTATTAGGTGGGTGTTGAAAAGTTCGACAAAGAGTACGCGTATAACGTCCGTCACAACTATGGAAAAGAAGGAAAGCGAACGGTAAGTTTCTTTAAGGTTTGTGGAAACAATACTTACATGTGGCTCCTCGTGCAGGACTATACACCTTATTCATGTGTGAAACTGATCATGTCAACTCCTGGCGTTGGAGATCATCACGGATGTCCCTATCGCCACTTCAGGTGTGGTCTGTCCAGTTTCAAAAAGACGCTCCCATTCATTCGTTGCTAGTGACACGCAGCGAGGACAAATTGCGTGCTTCTTTAGGTGGTCTGGGATTAAATTCCAGGCAAGTATCTTCCGCGCTTGAAAAGACCCGAAGCCAGCATTACCAGGTTCGTTCCGGGGACAAAGGCTTTAAAGCTCAGCTGCTAACTTTTCCCGTCCTTGGCAGCTGGCCTGTGCCGAAGTTTTCGAAGCCGTGCACGGGTGTTCTAGCGATGGCATCAACCATCCAAATCAATACTTCGAGCAAAGCCGAGCTCTCTTGCAGCAACCAAAGGTGAAGCAAATGTGTTCTTTCTCATTTAATGACACAGTGGAATTCTTTTCACAGGAAGAACCAGCATCAGGTGGCGAGAACAATAATAACGATGCCAACGAAGAGAAAACAACGCTGATGATATCGTAATAAGCTTGCTAATTCAAAGCCACGGCAGATATATTATGGAGCAAAACAATCACATACAATCAATCTCCCAGGTAGAAAAAAATTTGCATTCTTCTTTTGCTCTGCCTCACTAAGTATCGTGTTGGCTTGTTCCTTGCGATACGCCCGTCTCAACAGTGCTTCCAGGGAAGGGTATAGAGCCACAGCGGTGGTAGTAACCATTCTCATCATACTTGAAACGCTCCGAGAGGTGTGCCTCCATGATTTGGTAGTCGCCCCAGGTCTCTTCTCCAAACTTCGCGAGGATATCCGTGGCATCGAATCCCTTGTTCCTGTATCGACTTTTGCTGCGAGCAGCACAGAGTCAACACCCACAATCACAAAAAGAAAGGAAAAAGAACATGACTGACAGTACCTCCTTCTGTGGCTTGTGTTCATAACTGTCGCGTGCAACTGTCAGAGAAAAGAGAGATACTTCGTTAGAAACAATTGCAAAGCGAAAAAGCGAGCAATTTTTAATCTACCTTTAGTTCTTGCTCGCCATCTTTTCCAAGCACTAGGCCGGCTTCAACGAAAGCGTCAATCATGACCTCTGTGGTGATGAGATGCTAAGGAAATGGAGCTAAGAGCTGTTAGATACGATCTAAAGTGAAGAAAAGGCAAAAAAGAAAGGATACGGCAAGCTTTTGAAAGTCGACTTCCACCATCAGCGTCCGCCACCTTTGCAAACAGCACACGCGTGTTTTTGGGACTTCCCCTCATGATCTCCTGCAATTGTTTTTGCAAAAATCAAAGTCGATATTCCAAAGCAAAACAAGGACGATATTCCATACCAATCCCTTCAAGGACACCGAGACCGGTCTTTTGTCCAAAGTTGCAGCTACATCTGGCAAGCATTTCTGGGAGAGAAGAAACGAGTTAAGAAAACCCCGAGAATTTACGTGCATGAACTTGATTACCTCCAAAACGCCACGGGCTTTCTCCACGCGCTCTTCATTCCAGAGCTTCAGCATTAAAACCGTCAAGTGAAATCTCGTAGGCTTGATAAAGATTGATTTCTCGACTCCAGAATCTATGAAACCGGCTACGGTTAGCTGAGAGAGGAAAAACAATCACAGACCTTTCTTCTTTTTTAGCGTTAGAGGCACGTCTTGCAGTGGCTCGGTTCCTTCCGCTTTCTCTTCAGGCAAATCTGCGGTTGTTTCCATTTCCACCCGCACTTCAGCAACAGCATTTTGCTGTTCCCGTTCCGTATCCTCATCAGCAGCTACGGTTTCCAGGGTTTCTGATGCGGCGGTGTTATCTGTTTCCGTTACCTCTTCAGCAACAGTTTCCTCGGTTTCAGTGGCCAGTGTTTCACCTTCTACGTGCAACTGACTTCCTGATTCTGTTTCTTCCTCGCCTACGGTTTCCGTGGCTGCTGGTTCTTCCTCGACTTGTATCTCCGAAAGTACAGTTCCTTGAGTAGCGGCATCAGTTTCATCTCCTTCATTTGGCTGTATACCCAACGAACCGAGGACAGACTGACGAAACGCGTCCTCTACTGGTGCTTCGACCGAGCGAGTATCATCCACATGTTCCTCCACTCCGGAAGTCACAGTTTCTGCTGCTGCAGCTGCTGCTTCCTCTTCTGGCGCCTCCTGTTCTGGTGTTTCCTCTGCATCAGCTGCTGCTGTTTGTTCTTCATCAACGAGAGGAATTCCCAGCGATACTAGTACGGATTCCTGAAAGGCCTCCAGTTTTTGGACCAGAGAAGGATGGACGCTAAGTGGCAGAGAAAGGAAATGAGAGTACTGAAATTTCGCGTCGTTCACACCCTGCAAAAATGTGTTAGCAGATGAACAAGAATATCGACTTACACTTACTTCCTCAACTATTCTTTGTATCTCCTCTAGCGCTTTATTTACCGAATCCTCGGAAGATCCCTCCACAACTAAAACAAAAGCTCATCAGGCGCTAGCGTGAAAATATCTTACAGATAACGAATAAGCATACCGACAGGGTTTCCGAAGCGTATGGTTGTGTTTGTGTCTTTTTCAATCCGTTGTTTGACTTCATTCCTGCGGAGTAACAATAAGATCAGCTTACGCAACTGCACAATGAACTCACTTGTGTCCTTTAACTAGACGTAGCAGCTTCTTGTCAACCTGTAAAAGTAGTAGCATCAACACCGGAAGAGCAGATGAAATGCAGTATACCTGTATAGAGCCAGAGACCATTTCGCTGTCGTTCTGTTCGACATCACTGACATCTTTACATTCATCTGCTACGGTGTGCATGGTTCTCACTGTTAGCACATAATGCGCACAATCAGCTTTTAGGAAAAAAAACAGAGAGAAAGAAATTGCCTGCTTTCGGCATCCATTGCAAACTCCCACTCGCTAATCGTTTTGTCGAAGCTAGAACAATCCATTTCCAAATTAAAAATAATAAATAACAAAGGCATTTACCTGGGTTCAGAGAAGAGCTCCTACTGCTAGCAGACTTTTCCGTAACTGACTCAGCTTTGGTGTCTTTCTGACAGTTTTCCATGAGACACAAAAATGAACTCGAAAGGTACTAATACCTTGTCTATCACCGGTTGTAAAAGCCTTGTAGCTTGCTGCACGGCTTCGTCCGACAGACCCTCAACAACTAAAATTGAGAAGTTTAAAAAGAATAAAAAGTTACCAAGGGAGTCATACTGACCTATGTAGAATCCTGATTTTTGCTTCGAAAATGTCAACGAGGTATTGGATTCCGCTTCAATTTTTCGCTTCATTTTGTTTCTGATATTCACGGATGTTCAAGGCATTTTTCGAATAGCGTAGTACCTTTTTGCTTTGATTGACTGAATAACCGCTTGATTCACCTGTAAGAGTCATCTACTTGAGAAAAAACATTCAGTTCTTGGCTCATACCTCTACAGAAGCCGAGAACTTGTTCTCTGGTTTGTTGCTCGTGACATCTTCAAAAACGGCTGTAAGTTGGTCCAAGGATCCCGTGCTGGTAACAACATTTGGTTCCAAAGTTCCAGCATCTTAAACAAATCAAAGCGAATATCAGATGACCGAAACTGTGCCAACTTACCGGAAGATACACATTGAGCTGTGACTTTGGGCCTCCAAAGCTGCATTCCATGGTGCTTCATCGTTTGTCCAGTCGGCACTGCAAATATCTCTATGCTTCAATCTGATAAACAAATCGCTTTGGAAAATCTCCGAGAAAGTCACGAAAGAAATACCTGCATTTTGTGTCCTTCTCATTCTCTTCTCGGCGCGTACCACACCCAATGCAGCTCTTAGATCCACTTCACGATTCATATCCTTCCTTGTCATTGCAATATGGATGAATCAGAGAAGGTAAAAACCCGATCGAGAAGGCATACTCTTGCTACCGAAGACAAAGCGCGGATCGAAATACTCCCTCGCACGATCCTGCACGAAATCACTGGAAATTCGTGGGACTTCTAGCAGCGCCAAGCTCACCTGGTCACTGACGATGCAAAATCGCAAGCGCAAGCTGATATCATCTCCCGTGCCGCCGATGCGGCTCCTCGCGCTCTCGTCGAAGAACCCTAAGCACTACTTACGAACGTGCCACTCACAAAAAGGCAGTAAAGTAAATACTCGAGCAACCTGGTAAGAAAATGGAAAGTGTTTTACTCCAATTATTTACAAGTGTCCAGGCTATAATGCCGATGGTTCTTAGAGAAAGCGTCAAAAGAACTTGGAGCTCTCCATTAGACGTAACTATGTAGTGATTTTTCATCATAGTAGTTCTATCTATACTCTTTGTAAGTGTCCAAAGACTGCAAGCGCTGGAAGAGGCTTTTGTCTTGCCACCTGAAAATCACACATCATCAACGATGGAAGAACAACGAAAAAAGAGAAAAAAATTCATGGCTCGATTCTTATGCGTACCAATCGCAGAGGTTGTTCTTCGTCTTCTCGATTTTCTTTACACTCGGCGCTTTGCTGCTCCATAGTACTCGTGGCCAAGGGCGGCTTGAGCTCTGTTGGATACATCTCCGCCAAGAGCTTGGGATCCGGGTTTAAGGACTGGAACAGCTTCAAGCCAAAATTTCCCTGTAAGTTTTGCGTCAGATAAGCGCGGGGAGAAACTATGAATTCGTTACCTCTGATGTTATAAGCTTGCAAGCCAGGCCATCGATGGCGGTCACTGCTAGCACAGTCTAGCAAAGACAAAGAAACACTCTTTAGAAAACAAAGATTAAATCTTCCTTGCCTGCATGTAAGCCTCTATCAAGTCATCTAGCCCGATCCCGACACGATTAAAATCTCTGCTGTCCATCAGAAGCAGTCGCTCCGTTTCAGTTCCCCAGGTCCCGTCAGGATTCTTATAAAAAAAGTAGAGAAGTTTCGGTCGTCGTCAGCTTTTTCATTAAAAAAGAAGTACCTTGACGGACAAATTCGTCCCGAGCATGTCCCACGAGTTCATTCCTCGTTCCAGCTTCTCGGACAGAGGGAGCCGTGCCCGTCGAGCATAAATCGCCACAGGGAAAAAGCCTTCCGGGGATGAGCCAACCATGAGCCGGAGATCAGCGGCATAAATGTTCCCTTTGAGATTTGGAATTGTTCCGACATGATAGAGACGTCCACCATGATTTAAGCTGCTCCAACCGTGATTGCCGATCAAAGCCTGCGAACATATAACACCGGTGAATTCAAGTTTTCGCAATTGAAAGCTCTTACCTGGACAATGAAGCGATCGTAGCGATGGTCCATTCCCATAAACTCCTGAAGCTCACCTTCGTGAGTGATAGTCCAGACGCCAATACCGGCATTCGCGTAAGGAATTTTCACGACGGCGAGTCCTCCCATCCTCCGGACCCAAAGCGGGATCTCGGTCTTGGAAACGTCCCATATAGTATCCGGAGTCAGGATGCTCAGGCCACTCGCAGCTATCTCGGCATTGTGGAGATCATAAGCTTTGGCAGCCAGCATCTTGTTCCTTCCACCAGCCAAGCACGCGAGGATTGGATTAAAGACGAGAGTCCGCGTGAGTGGTGGAATTCTGCTCCATGGACGTTGTGTCACATATCTCAGTGCCGCTCGGACAGGCTCCCACACGGGCTCTGGAACGAACAAGCTCTTATCACCACCACCACTGCCGTTTTCTTCGTGAGACCTCCACAAAAGCTTGGCGGTGTTGATCATGATAATACCATCTTCGCGGCACTTCATCAAAGGATCGGGATCGTCCTCGTAGCATGGAACCAGGAAAACTGGCTCGCCCGCGAGCTCGGCTAGCGTAGCAGCATAGCCGGACGACTCCATCCTGTTCTTGTCGTATAAAACCGCGAGCCTGCCCTCTGGAAGCTGGTGACCATTGTAGCTCCCAGCGCGAATGTATGGCATGAGAGATTTCTCGAGCAGCGTGCGGTAGCCAGCAAACTCGAGTTCTTCGTTGGCTAGCGGCATGGCTTTCTGGCCGGATGGACACGAGTTCGTCTCGACGACCACGAAACGCTTCTGCCCGTGCTCGGTAGTCGTGGAAAACAAATCCGCCCCTCCCCACTGGAAGAATCTGGGAAAGAATTCTTTAAGACGATCGCAAGAGTCTCTCTAGAGAAGCTACATTGACAACAAAGAAACGCTACCTGGTCGAGAAGCTCAAGGCCCTGGCCACGGCGTCATGGTTTGCCTCCGGATGGAGATGGCAGTAGCGTTTCTTGATGCGATCGTTGCCCAGGGCCATGAAAGACCGCACCAGGGGATGAATCTGCGCGTTGAGGACCCGCGGATAGAAATGCTCCGACGGCTCGAAGGATCCGGGCTCGAAAACCTCGACGACGTGCTTCTTGCTGCCGCAATCCTTGCTTGGCGACGCCGGGAGATCCATAATATCGCCCGCCGCGATGCCGCTGGCACTCCTGCGAGCAAGATTTGGAGAATCCCTCTTTACCGATCGTGGGAGCTCAAGAAGAGTGCTGGTACGAAGGGAGAGTACGATCGCCAAAAGCCACCGCATAAGCGATTCATCCCTAATAAATGTGATGAGCAGCTTCACTCCCCAGGATTAGCAACCGAAGGAAGGATACGCGAGCGCATATTCTCGAACATAGGAACTGTTGATGCGAATAATTATCAAGTGCTTAATCTTAAGCAAGGGCCTCTACCTGTTCACGGAATATGCCGTCTTACTCAGTGTGGGCATTTGCAAAACCCTTGTTCTTGCGCGATGGAGCGCTCGTTGTGGTGGCTATGGCGCGCATTCTGGGAATGGAGGGATTCTCTATAGCAGCATACAGGTAAGCGCGTCCCTCGCTCAAGAAATCTCGCTGCTTGGTTTACTAGATTTTTCTCCGTAGTGATAGTGGTGGAAATCGAGTGACTTAGAGCGGGGATTTCTCGTTTCTAGAGGAGCTAGCGTCGTGAAACGAAGGGATGACTGGAGCGTTTTCAGTGGAAGTCCTGTCCGAGAAGCTTATCAAGCTAAACGCTTCGCAGCAAAGTATTGAAAGTAAGTTCGTTTCCATGAAATTCGTTCGCTTTACGCGGGTTTTCGTTTGCAGCTCTGTCACACTGGTGCATCTATCATCGCAAGCGAGCAAAGCAGATCGCCAAGACCTGGGAGAAGGAGTTTTTCTCGGCACCGAAAGAGAAGCGCGTCTCGTTTCTGTATCTCGCGAACGACATCATACAGAACAGCCGGAGGAAAGGATCGGAGTTTGTGTCGGAGTTTTGGAAGGTGTTGAACGGGGCTCTCAAGGACGTGAAAGCAAATGGAGACGAGAATGGCCGCAACGCAGTCTCTCGACTTGTAAGTCATTAGTTTGCTTTGAGCCGGAGTTTTAACGTTGTTTCTACATTGTTTTTGCGCAGGTAAACATATGGGAGGAAAGAAAAGTCTTTGGCTCTCGTGCACAAAGCCTCAAAGAGACTCTGTTGGGAAATAATCCAGTTCCGGACTTCGAGATCCCGGATAAAGAAAAGGAGAAAGGGAAGGACAAACCAACCACTTCTTCGAGTTTTATAAAGATCGTAAGAGACTATTCCCGAGCTCAGCTTCTAAAATCATAGCTTTTGTTTTTCGCTTCTACGTGACAGAAACTAGACGGTAGCATCCTTGAGAAGGTGGCCAAAGCATTCCAGGATGTAAACGACGGTCTCTCTAATGAAGAAGCCACGATCGAAGAATGTAACTCTATTAAACGGCGAATAGAAGCGTTAGGCAAGGAGGCTGCCAGCCACGGTGAGGAATACTTGTGCTTTGTTTCTCATAGCATTTTCGCTATGATTTTGCAGGCCAGGAAAATGAAAATTCCACTGTGCGCGATGAGCTGCAACAGCAGCGAGGAAATCTCTCGCAGCTGGTCGAGCAGCTCGAAACCATCGAAAGGAGTCGGTCTAAACTTGTAACTTACTTAAGGGAAGCTCTTGAAGACCAGGTAACACTCTTTCTTTCTGCGCTTGTTCCTGTAACAAATACAAATTTTTACTCGCACAGGAGAGAAAGTTGGAGCTCGTTAGATGCCAGATAGAGGTGAGAAATGTGGTTTCTCTTTTGTTGTCCTATAAGCATAAATCTTCGTTCTTTCAGGAATTTTCTTCTCCAGCCAAGCCGGTGACGAGAACACAAGCTCTCCCATCCGTGACACCGAGCCCGCTTCCTCCAGTCGTCCAAAGCATGGCTTCCATAGACGACGGAAGCAAGAAAGTCAAGGAAACTCCTACAGCGGCGGAGGTTGCAGCAAAACTCGCTGCCTCGTCGTCCTCGGCAGCCATGCTCTCGTCAATTTTCTCGTCACTGACACCGGAAGAGTTCGGCTTCCAGCCGGACAACAAGAGGCCCAAGCTCGTCGACTCGAGCAGCAGCGGCGGCGGCGGCGGCAGCACGAATCAAGGCCTCGCACAGCAGTTTATCCATCCAGCGTTTTCGCAAGCGCCACCTCCGCAAGCTCAACCTTTCCACTCGCAAGCACCGCCGCAACCGCAAGCTCAAGTTCTTCACTCGCAAGCGCCGCCGCCACCACAAGCTCAAGTTCTTCACTCGAGTTTCCAGCCACAGCACTCACAGTTCTTGAGCACCGCTAACTTGAGAATGCCGTATCCATATCCAGGGATGGGACAACCTCCGCCGCCGCCACCGCCGCCACAGCAGCCGCCGCCTCAACTCCCGCCGCTCCCGCCAGGCCCTCCGCTACCACCGGTCTGTGCTCCAGCGCCGTCGTATCACTCGCTTCAAATCCCTCCAGGAATTAACTTCTATCCTCCAGCGCCTCAAGTTCCTCGCTAGAAAAACTTCTGTGGTTTGTGTTGTTAACTAAAATGTGTATTTTTGTACTACCAAACTCTTGAAGGTTAGTGGTCTAGCATTTATAAAATATCTCACTGCTTCAAGTTTTTTTTAATCAAAATGCATGTTTATTTATAAATATCTATCACAATAAGGAGGAACTTTCTGGGCCGCCGGATCCAGCCAATCACAGCCGTCTGATGGGGGGGTAACTGTAAAGGGGTTATTTCTTTAACTACGTGTTAGCGAATAATTGCGCTGATGTTTGCTCCCGGGAGGCGGCCAAGCCAAGTGGGGCAAGAGAAGAAGGTGTGGCAACACGTGGCACATGCAAAGTGTTGACCAGAATTGTGTCTTTCCTGAAATTGCTATCATCGTCCAAACTTACATACAGATTTTTCTTGAGATTTTTTGAATTTTAAATTTTCCTGCAAAAACCCTCCCAACATGAAGCACCACTGCTTTAGAGAAAGGGCAAGAGAGCGATGCACTCAAGTAAATGGCTAGTGAAGCTGCGGCTCCCAAATCTCCCAGGTAAAGATCCCACTCAATCGCCACAGCAATCCCTGCGGGAACAAGTGCTAGCAGCAGATCCGGAGCTTGATGGGATGCCTTTCTATAGTCTCGCCACCATTGCTCCTAGCATTCTCCACTAGTGCTTGAGGGAAAGGGCATAGTGCTAAAGGAGAGCGAGTAAATGGCTAGGTGTAACGCATGGGATCATGGGATGACTGTCACCATGGATTTTTGGAACTTTGGAAGATAAATGGGGATAAAATAACCACTAAGGGCTCTTTTATCAAGTAATTGCCCCTTTTTTAGTTGGTTTAATGGGAAAGAGATAAGGTGCGCTCCAGTTGGTATTGGAGCAAATGGCACGGGTCGATTCCCATTGATTAGTGACTACTTAAAAATATAATATATCCTTGAGCAAAGTATATTTTTACCCCTAAATTTGAAATCATACATATTGGGCATCCATGCGTATGTCCTTCCTCTTGTGTGGAGTATCTATCCATGTATATGTCTTTCCTCTTGTGTGGAGTATCCATCCATGCGTATGTCCTTCCATGCGTATGTCTTTCCTCTTGTGTGGAGTATCCATGAACGAATGTACTATGTCCTTCCTCTTGTGTGGAGTATCCATCCATGCATATGTCCTTCCTCTTGTGTGAAGTATTCATGAACGAATGTACTATCTCCTTCTTCTTGTGTGGAATATCCATCCATGCGTATGTCCTTCCTCTTGTGTGGAGTATCCATGAACGAATGTACACAATAGAAGGATTGGTAGATTTAGTGTGGAAATGGAGGTGTTGGTTCCCCTTGGCTCAGTAAGGGTTGTTAGTCAATAGTCAATAAGATTTAGATATACTGTCACCGTGGATCCTTGGAACCTTGGGGGATAAATGGGGATAAAATAGCCACTAAAGGCTCTCTCATCAAGCAATTGCTCTTTTTCCAGTTGGCTTAAGGGGAGAGAAATAAAATGCACTACATTAGTGAAATTGCGGCTCCCAATCCCTGCCAACAGCAGATTTGGAGCTGCGGGCTCTAGATCCACTCCCAAGCCCCTAGCGGCAGCAACGGCACCTCCGCCAATGACAACAGAAGTGAGCGTGGCCACTAGAGAAGAGCTCTCATATGTTTTTCTTCTTTGTAATGATTATTAATGATGTATTGATCGGGCAATTATAGTAATGACATGGGCATGAAACTTACATTTTAAACATGAGGTTAACAGTTACCATTAAACACCTTTATGAATATTTATTTTTAAGTGAACATTTTTAATGCTTTACTAATAAATTAATCAACTTTATCGCCAAGTGTATGGCTATGATGCCATATACTAATATTAGTGTAGTGGGATTTTGGTAGCGGTTGGATTGGTTTCAATCTGGACCAGTTGCTCTTGTATATAAGCTAGAGTTTTTAGGCTAATTGATATGCACATTTCTGTATTCCCTTTCCATATTCCATGCACTCACATTGGTGGAGATGAGGGGCATCTTTGATTGTCCTTGGAGAGTGCTTAGATTTGGGATTTCGGTTTAGATCTAACTTTTGCATTGTCTAGATCTAACTTTTTTCATTTCCTTTCTTTTGTTCTTTCCTTTCAGGATTTTGGTTTAGATTTAGTTTTTTGCATTGTCTAGATTTACCATTTCCTTCCAGCTTTTTGTCATTTCTCTTCTTTTGCTCTTTCTTTTTCATTCATCTTCATGGTAGATCAGCAATCTCCCCCTTTGACTTTAGAGCAGCAGTTGGTTCAATTGTTTGATGCTATATGCTTGCAATTGACCAACCAAACTCAATTAATGGCGGCATTCACAGCATGTGGTCCAACTTCTCTTGCTCTTGGTGCCAATCCTTGTGTTCGGCCAGACTTCTTTCATGGGAATCTTGGGGATGATGTGTACCATTGGTTCAATCACTTCACAGTGATTGCCACATATCATTTTTAGGATGATGCTCAATGTTTGCGTGAGTTCCCCATGTGTCTCCAAGGGACGGTGTTGCAGTGGTACAATGGATTGAGCGCAGCCACTTGTGGGGATTGGAGTGTTCTTCTGGACATCTTCAAATGCGCCTTCAGACATGCCGATGATTGTGATGATGCCTTCCAATAATTGCATCATCTTCGCCAAGGGCCATCTAAGTCAATGATGCAATTTGGCGTTCATTTCCGAAGTCTTTTGCTTCATACAGAGCCCAATATGTCGGAGTGG